CTCTTCTGACCAGTTTTACCAGAATCTCCAAGAAAAGAAAGTTTTCTCTTGTTGGCATTGCAACTGGGAAGAAAATTCAATTCAATTCAATAGAAGTTTATTAAGCACTGGCGTTTTGTATGTTTAAAGTTAAGATAAAATGAGAAATAGAATTTCAATGAATCTATATAAATATGTAAACATATAATATATAGTATTATATCTTGTAAAATATAAACATATAATCCAAGATAGCTACCAGGGAAGGCTCGGATGTCAATGAAGGGACCCCTGAAGGACACTTTAAAGGGGTTAGAGCAGTTGTTATTTTCTTAGGAGCCAGCATTGGGTAAGGAGGGTTCTAGCAGGATGTAGACTCTACCTCCTCCAGACTAATTGAAGTCTGATGACATATGGAACCACCAGTTTTTCTTCTTTGAATTCCTGCTGCCTCATGGTATGTAGCCCCTAATTGTTCCCCAATTTTTTTTCATATGCATTAGTCTTATTTCTCTAACCATAACCTTGAACTCCATGAGAGCAAGACTGTCATCTTTTTCTTTCTGGCTGCCAGAGGTAGCGTGGCTCCCTAAATTCAGAGATCTGCTGCTTCCAAACTTTTCCTACCTTCTTCTCCACCTATTGTATCTTGTCACCTAGTCCTGTGACTATTTGTCATCTCTCCTTTTCTTACTCCAGCTACTACATACCCCAGCCCATAAGAGTACCATTTTTAGAAAGTTCACGTACAAAGGAAAAGAAATTATACAATTTCAGAAATAATATATTGTCACATTATCTTAGGTACGTTATTAAAGGCAGCTAGGTCATGCAGTGAATAGAGTACTGGGCTTCAAGTTAGGACAATCAAGTTCAAATCCAGCCTCAGATACTTAATAGCTGTGTGACCCTGAGCAAATCATTTAAATGCTATCTGCCTCAGTTTCCTCATCTGTGGAATGAGGATAATAATACTAGCACCTTCCTCCTTGGGTTGTTGTATCAAATGAAGGTAATGTTTGTAAAGCACTTAGCACGGTGCATGGTACATAGTAGGCATGTAACATATGATTATTCCCTCCTTAGTATGACTGGAAAAAGGAGATGGACTGGTTGCTGAGTGAGGGAGATAACAGATGGACAGCTTGCATGCTGCATTGGTACCCACCTGGATTCCTAAGTGACTAATGTATGTTTGTCACGAATAAAACAAGCCTAATCTCTTTCACTTTATGACCCTTCAGATACATGAAGACACAGGCATTGCTTTTCTGACTCCAGTTTCAGTGCCATTACCACCATACCATATTGCCTTCTAAGGAGAGTTGCCTCCTATTCTGTCTTTAATATGGGGTCCTGTTTTCTGAAGTTGTTCACTCCTTTTTCATTAATGGTCTGTCTCCTGGGGTCTTTTTCATCTTCCCTGTGTAGTCTTTCTTGTTATATTTGTCTGGTTTTTTGGGTCCAAGTTTGTATGGCGTTAGGGAAACAGATTCTCCCCAAAATCTTCTCCACATTAAACATTCCTATTTCCTTCAACACATCCTCATAGGCCTCAAGACCCTCCTCTGGATGCTCTCCTTCCTAAAGAAAATATCTTTAATGTCCTTCTTAAACTAGAGCGCCAAGAACTGAACGCTCTAACCTGGTTGAGGTCTGGCAAAGGACAAACAAAGAAGTTGCTTTTGTTTTTGTTGTTCAGTCATTTTGGTTGTATCTAAATCTTTGTGACTCCATTTTTCTTGGCTAAGATACTGGATTGTTGCCATTTCCTTCTCCAACTCATTTTATAGATGCGGAAGCTGAGGCAAACAGAGTTGAGTGACTTGCCCAGAGTCACACAGCTAGCAAGTGTCTGAGGCCACATTTGAACTTAGGTCTTCCTAACGATAGGCCAAGTGCTCTATCCGCTTCTTCACCTAGCTGGGCAAATAGGATGGTGTTCTTATCACCTAAAAATTAAGAATAATGCATCTATGACACAAGAGTCATCCCTAAAATTTTCAAAAGACAAATAGTTATCTTCCAAAGTCTTCTAGAAAGGAACAAGTTAGACCAATAAGTCTGGGCAAATGACCCAGTATCTGTTAGGTTTGTCTTATCTCATCCCCCTATTCCAAATCCCACCCCTACCCCTCTCCATTTTCTTTTCTACAGATAAATGGCTTGTGATGATTCTCCTGTTGGGTGGTTGTGAAAGATGACCCATGATTTGGCTCCCACAGACTCATCTTCTTCCAGTCTGTTCACTTTTCCCGACACTTTCCAGCTAGACATGAGTGTCTTTGGGAGTGAAGGTGATTCAGGGGATAGCTTGAAGTCTCTCCCACTTTTAGTAATGATTGACTATTTCTGGCAAAAGGGGGGGGGGTTCTAGTCCTCAGGACTGTGCTGAGATGTGTGTCAAAGGTTGGGTTTTTGTTGTTGTTATTATTGTTTCAAAAAACTATGCTGACTTTCACACATGATGTACACCCAGAGACACACATACTAACACTTCTTGTGAGAAAAGAACACAACCGACCGAAAAAGGAGAGGAAGATCAAAGGCTTCAAAGGCAAGAAATACCTAATCTATGACATCTTCCTTGAGAAAAAAAAATCTTCATAAATTGTATTTTATCTCTTTTTATAAACTGACAGAGCTCATTTTATTTTATTTTTTAATAGCATGTGTGGCCTCCCTGAGTGTCTTCCTTCTGATAGGGCATGTTCCCTTTTTGGAGAGGAGGGAAAAGAACAACTTGAAACAGATCCTCAATGAAAAATTAATGGTGCCACCAATTAGCAAAATTAGCAAGGCCCCCCTGGGAACCCAGAGGGTGCTTAACTCTATACTGGGTGCTGGGGGCAAGGGTGTTTCAGAGGTGTAAGAAATGGCCCCTATCCTTTGGTAGCTCATTGTTTGTCTGGTCAGGAAGACAAAAGTCACAGGAAAGAAGAGTGGACGGAGTACAAGCCACAGAATATAAGTACAATTCTAATTCAGGCTGAGTTGTGTGATTCAGAATATTGTTAGAGCAGTTTTAAGGGCTAGAGGACTGTTGCTGTGGAAAGGTGATGTAGGCTTCATGGAAGAAGTTTACTTAAGCTGGGTTTTGAGAGATGAATTTTATAAACAAACTACCAGGCAGGCAGCAGGCTAGTAATTAAGTAGACTTCACCTAGACTGTAGGTTAATTTATTGCTCACACACACACACACACACACACACACACACACACACACACACTATTTGTTTAGATGGTGGGGAGCAGGGAGAGGGAGTGAACTGGAAGGAGGGATCTGTGATTTCATCAATGAAAGGAATTCTGGGTCAAGAAATTCCTTCTTATCAACTGAGGATCTCTTTCTGGAACTTAAGTCTTAGAGAATGGCTACATGTGAGAGAAAGAACTTGAAGATGGCTGAGACCATCAAAAAGTGACCACTGTGCCACATTGACATCTCTATAGCATCATTAAGTTTTAATGGCATGAAATTTTGAGAAGAAACTTCTCTGAAGCTTTGGGAGTAAGCATTTCATGATTTCTTTTCTCATTCTCAACTAGAGAGCTACAAATATCCCCAGACTACTGAGTGGAGCTTAGTCATTTGTTTATTCAGAGTAAACACTAAGCTAAACCTCCTGATAGGTGCTCAGTGCAACAGGGGAATACAAAGATGTATAAACCAGGGGTAGCCTATGTTCCTAGGATTGTCCAATCTGGTAGGGTGGAGTAAGATAGCAACTAAGAGAAATGCTATAAGAGAAAGACAAGCAAAGTTTCAGAAAGATCCCTTCTAATGTTGAAATCAGGTAAGGCTTCAATAAGGTGCAGTGGAAAGAATGATGGTTTGGGAGTCAAATGACCTGGTTTTAAATTCTGACTTTGCCACTTACTACCTCTGTAAACTTGGGCAAGCCGCTTAACTTCTAGGCTTCAGTCCTCCTTTGTCAAATGAAAGTTTTGGACTAGGTGACCTTTGTGGTCCCTTCCAACTTTAAAGTGAGGATGTCATAATGATGAGATGGCATTCTAATGGGGCTTTTCTGGAGGGATTGATAGGATCTTCACCCAGGGACCTCATGGGAGAATACATTTCCAAGCAGTGGGAAAAAAATAAAGTATTGAAGCTGGAAAATGCATGAGTCCGCTTATGGAATCAGGATAGTTTTTCTGGAGCAAAAGGTACAGTTTGGGGAGGAGCAGCTGTGGGAACCAGGGATAGAGCTGTGGAGATCAGAATGTTTGGGCCCTGTTTCTCAGAACCATGCTTTTTTGGAGGTTGCTCAGGCCTTATATCTGGAAGTATTCTTAACATCTGTTCTTGTTGGGAAAAACTGCCACTTCAACATGGGCAAAAACTCTTGCTAGGCTCAGAGGAATCAGGCTTATTTCTTAGGGCTAACAGCGTTTACTTATGGACTGGTACATTTTTACATGCATCTGTAAGGGTGGGTTCCATCTTTAAAAGGAAAATGGTGGCAGCATTGCATTTGTTACTTCTGTTGCAGGGTTCTTCGCCTTTGTTTTTGTCCTGGACTCCTTTGACAGGCTGGGGAAGCCTATGGACCCCTTCTCAGACCAATGTTTTTGAATACATAAAATACATAGGATTGCAAAGGAAATCAGTTATATTGAATATAGTTATCAAAATATTTTTTAAAGTTCACAGACTTCAAGTTAAGAACACCTGCCCGGTAGTAAGAGTATTTAGCTTGGCTTTTTCATATATCATTCAGACAGTCCGGAGATAGCAATTGACAGTATTCATTAGACCCCAGAGCCTGAAGGCCAGCAGGGCTAGGTGCTACCTGACCCTTGGAAGGGGGGTTGACTTATGTTTGGTCAACTCTGTGACAGTTGAGCTGAAAAAAAAAAAAGAGTCAAGTGATGAGCTTGTCTGGAAGAGCCAGGGAAGAAACAGTTGTTATCAGGGCAGAGGGTAATGAGGGAGAGCATGGAAGGCAAAAATTTCCTGGTCCCCTGAGCAGGTTAGGAATACGTCATCTTCTCCTCACGCATCACTCTCTTTCAGGTAAGATCCTGTTCCGGAGGAGTCACATTCGAGATGTTGCTGTGAAGAGACTGAAGCCTATTGATGAATATTGCAGGGTGAGTGTGCATGTAGGTGTGAGTCTGTGAGTATGTGTGTATTTACACAGGTGGTGTAAATGTCCCAGGATTATGGGTATAGTTGAGTAGATCTATCAGAAGTGCTTCCTGGGCAATTATGGGGAGATTGTTGCACAGGATGAAAGGAGGGACTCAAGAACCTCTAAGGAAGTCTTCTCTTCCTGCTCTAGATTCTGTGTCTCTAAGGCTGGCCTTAGAGAAGGAGGGCTGGCATGCCTGGGAGCTTAGCCTTGCCCCCTTTTAATACTGTCACCCGATGCAGGCTGTCCTGTTTAAAATGGGCCCCATTTGAAGACCTATAGCATTCATTGTCACCTGTTGTTAAAGGGGGCAATCCAGCTGTAGAAACTCATAAGCATGGAACTTCACTTGAAAATGGAGAGTTCCTCTATCCTCTGGTGGCAGTGAGTCTGACCATTTCAGAACGATACAGCACACTGCTTAGACATACAGATATGAATATTCTTTATCTATGTACCAACACACAGTTAACCAAAGTCAGTGGGTAGCATCATTAGTAAGTTCACAAAACAGACTTTAGTTTCTTAATCTCTTGGGAAGGCCAATCATGTTGTTGTCTAATCTTTCTTTCTGGAGCAGTGGATAAGGGGCTGGGTTTGGAGTCAAGAAGCCCTTAATTCAAATTTGACCTCAGACATTTAACTAGCTGTGTGACCAGGCAAATCACTTAACCTTTGTTTCCTTAACTGTTAAATGTGGGTAATAACAGCACCTATCTCTCAGAGTTGTTGTGAGAATCAAATGAGATGAGAATTGTAAAGCATTTAGCATGGTGCCTGGCACATAATAGGCGCTGTATAAATGTTAGCTATTATTATTCTTGTTGTCCGAGTCTGTGGTGGAAAATGTAAAGCTTATGGAATTCATATATACTTGTAGAAATGGAAACATTGTGAATAGATACCTGTATTTTTAATGAAAATAGAAATTCTTACTTAAAACAAATGATTCTGGTTGACTGTGAAAGTTTGTAAAACTAATTACAGACTTAGTTAATTGTTTTCTCCCTCTGCTACAAATACACAAACTTGTCCACACAAAGCCAATTAGAAAAAAAGTCTGGTTTTAGTAAAGGCAAGGAGTGCATGACCCAGAGTGTCCCATCTTGAGCTAATGAGGTGCCAGAATGATGAGTCCTCTCTTCTTAAAAGCTCTCTCTTGATCAGATCAATATCAGTTTTTTAAATGGCACCAGTCATTGGAACACAAATTGACAGCTGGTCTCACTGCTTTTATTTCTCTTTCTTCTTTTTCCAAGCAATTAAATGGGCAAACATGGGGATGGGGAGGGGAGGAGGACAGGGCAGACTCAGGAAAGATTTTTTTCATCTGGTATTTACAGGGCCAAATCATACTTCAGCTTTCCTGAAGTGGTCTAGCCTCAGGCATCTCTGGAACTCCCATCTCCTGTGCAGAGGAAACTGATAAAGATCTTATCTCCTGATATCAGTCCTGAGTTGGTCTTAGAGTCTAAGGGGCACAGCAAGGTTAGGTTGGGTAGAACCAGAGCCTCCTAACCCAATTAGCACAGACAGGAACCATCTTGAATTTAGACAGCAAATGCCGAAGCCATGAAGTCACTGCCATCTCTTGTAATGACTCCAAGAGCTGGGGCTTTTCAGACCTAACTTCTGACCTTGAGGAACTAGAAAGCTGTTATCGCGTTGTCCGAGGTGCGGACTCTCAGAGAATGAGGATTTTACCATCTGCTAGGAGGCTAATGGGGTGACATTTATGCCTTAAGTTCTTTGAAGTGAGGAAAATGAGGTCAAAGGAACAGAACTGACTTGACCAGTCTCACAACAAGGTAGTGACAGAACAGAGATGATATAATTCAGCATTTCTAAGTCCTAGGCCTATTACTTGTGATAGGAAACAGCCCATCCTCAGATGACAGAAGACTGAGATGAGGCAAGTGATACCTAACACATACATGCCTAATTGTGCAAGATTCCTACTTAGTATGCTGGTGGTTGTGGGTGGGGGAGATAGGTTAGTATTCTTTTTCCCTCTTCCCCCTTTTCTTCCTCAAGGTGAAGGAAGAATAGCCATTATTACTTCATTTTTCCTTGCCTGCCCTACCTTCTCCCCAGCTCCTGACTTCCTTTGCTCTCCCAGCCCCTAAAGTCCTAAAGAACTCCTAGGTTGAAGGATCTTACCTGCCTTGGGGGTCTCTCACTTTGGCCCTTTCCTAGGCCAGCCCAGGATGTTTGTCTAAAGTTCAGGTTACTGAAAAAAATTATTAAGCCTCAAAGCCCTTAACAAGGTTTGGGTTCAAGAGAGGAAATCTCCCCTGTTTGAAGTTGGTAAAAACACAGGACCTCAACTTCTCCACTTTAAATATCAGTTCTCCCTGCTCCCATCTCCAGCTCCTTAGGCAAATAGAAGGTAGGAAAGGCATCACCAGATTAGAGTTTGAATATGGGTAAATTGGGGATATTAAAAAAAATAAAGTTTTTTTTTAAAGCAAGAGTGATTTTGCATTTTTATCCATTTTAAGAGTTGCCAGGACCAAAGAATTTATCAGTTAATGGTCAGTCTGCTGGTGGTGAGTCTCTCTGTACTTAGCTAGGATAATAAAAGTAGACACAGTCTATTGCTTGTGCTTGAAGTTTATCCAACTTGGTAGAATTTGCCAGAACTTGTGTGCCTCACAGGTATAGTCTTCAAGAACCCAAGCAATGAGACATTAAAGAAAGCTCAATATTGTCTCAGCCAGCATACTCTTGATCCCTTCAGAAAGCAGAAGGACTTGGCAACCAAGGGCAATACTTGTTTAGGGTCACAGTTCTCAAAACATTAAGGAGGGGTGAAGCCAAAATGGTGGATTAGGGTCAGCCACCTAGCTGAACTCTCCAAATATTCTTCTCCAAAAATTTTAAAATAATGCCTTAAGTCACATTTTGGAGTAGCAGACCAAACAAAGTGTCAGGGTAAGACATTTTTCTGACCCAAGAAAACTTAAGAGGTTGACAGAAGTCTGTGGCACTGGGGTAGAGACTTATTGGACCCCATACATGTGGCGTTGGCAACAGTGGCTGCAGCAGCAGCAGTAGCTTCAGGAGATTTTTTTAGCTAAGAGACAGTAAGGGAGTCAGGCAACTGGTCATAAAGGGATTATAGGGGACCCTTTGCTGGTACTGGGCACAGCTGGCACTGATTGGCAACTCTGTTGCCCATATGTAGTTCTGGGTTGCAGTTCCAGGGTAGAGAGGAGCACTGGTGGTTGATCGTAAGGGAGCAGGGGCCCTGGTCATAGTTCTAAGGCAAAGAGGAGTGCTAGCACTTGCAGCTGCAAGGGACCAGGGTGCCATTCCTGGGTAAAGACCAGAGCACCAATCAGGAAAGCAGTGACCATATCTTTCCCAGGATCATACCACCTTGGAAGCACCAAAAACTTGTAGACCCCCAGAACTAGCTCTGAAAACAGCATCATGAAAAAGCCTGAAACTTGAGATAGTGCATCCCCACCTCCAGGTAAGCAGAGCCCAACTTTAACATAAAGTTCAAAGTCAAGAAATAGTCTGGGAAAACGAGCAAAAAGCCAAACAAACAAAAAAGAATTTGACCATAAAAAGCTACTAGGTTAAAAAAAAAAGCTACTAGGTGGCAGGGGGGGGACCAGGACATAAACGAAGAAGACAAGAAGGTGAAAACAACTATAAAAAGCCTCAAAGAAAAATGCTAATTGTATCCAAACCCAGCAAGTATTCTGGGAAGAATTAAAGAAAGAGCTAAGAGGCTTAGTGGAAAAATTGGGAAAAGAAATGAGAGTGATGCAAGAAAATTATGAAAAGAAAATTAATGGCTTGGTAAAAGAGGCAAAAATATTGAAGAAAAGTTACACCTTAAAAAAACAGAATTGGTCAAAACAGAGAAAGAAAATTATAGGCCAGTTTCTCTAATGAATATAGATGCAAAAAATTTAAACAAAATATTAGCAGATAGATTACAGCAACTTATCACAAGAATAATACACTATGACCAGGTAGGATTTATACCAGGAATGCAGGGTTGGGTCAATATTAGGAAAATTATCAGCATAATTGCGCATATCAACACCAAAACCAACAGAAACCACATGATCATCTCAATAGATGCAGAAAAAGCTTTTGACAAAATACAACACCCATTCCTATTAAAAACACTAGAAAGCATAGGTATAAATGGAGTCTTCCTTAAAATAATAAGTAGCATCTACCTAAAACCTTCAGCAAGCATTATATGTAATGGGGACAAGCTAGAAGCATTTCCAGTAAGATCGGGGGTGAAACAAGGGTGTCCATTATCACCACTGTTATTCAATATTGTACTGGAAATTAGCTTTAGCAATAGAAGAAAAAGAAATTGAAAGTTTTGGAACAGGCAAAGAAGAAACAAAGCTATCACTCTTTGCAGATGACATGATGATATACTTAGAGAATCCTAGAGAATCAAGTAAAAAACTACTTGAAATAATAAACAACTTTAGCAAAGTTGCAGGCTATAAAATAAACCCACATAAATCATCAGAATTTCTATATATTACCAACAAAGCCCAACAGCAAGAGAAGAGAAATCCATTTAAACTTACTGTAGACATTATAAAATATTTAGGAGTCTACCTCCAAAACAAACCCAGGAACTCTATGAACACAATTACAAAACACTTTTCACACAAATAAAATCAGATCTAAATAATTGGAAAAACATCAGTTGCTCATGGGTAGGCCGAGCTAATATATAAAAATGACAATCCTACCTAAGCTAATTTACTTATTCAGTGCCATACCAATCAAACTACCAAAAATTATTTTATAGAGTTAGAAAAAATAATAACAAGATTCATTTGGAAAAACAAAAGGTCCAGAATATCAAAGGAACTAATGAAAAGAAATGCAGGGGAAGGTGGCCTAGCAATTCCAGATCTTAAATTGTATTATAAAGCAGCAATCATCAAAACTGCTTGGTACTGGCTA